TGGGGTTAGGTCGTGTACTCAACATCCTATTTCTCATTTTGCCTCCTACACTAATCTGTCTTCTTCCTATAAAGTTTTTTTGTCTAAAGTTTCTTCTATGAGTCTTTTTTCCAATTTTCAGGATGCTCTTTCTACTTCTGGGTGGAAGCATGCCATAATGGAGGAAATGAGAGCGCTTGCTAAAAATGGCACTTGGGAATTGGCTGCGTTACCTAAGGGCAAACGACCTGTTGGATGTAAGTGGTGTACACTGTAAAGCACAAAGCCGATGGTTCAATTGAACGTTACAAGGCTAGATTGGTGGCCAAGGGTTTTAATCAGACTTATGGAGTAGACTACCAGGAGACATTTGCACCGGTTGCTAAGATGAATTCTGTCAGAGTCCTTCTCTCCCTTGCCTCTAATCTTGACTGGCCTCTCCATCAATTTGATGTAAAAAATGTTTTCCTCCATGGAGATCTGGCAGAAGAAGTGTACATGGACATTCCTTCTGGTTTTGAGGATGTTAAAACCACAGGAAAGGTGTGTCGGTTATGCAAGTCACTTTATGGCCTTAAGCAGTCTCCTAGGGTTTGGTTTGAGAGGTTTACTTAGGCCATGCTGAGATATGGTTTCAAACAAAGTCAAGCTGATCATACTTTGTTTGTGAAACACTCCTCAGATGGTAAAACGACAGCCCTCATCGTCTATGTGGATGATATTGTACTCACAGGGGATAATATTGAGGAGGTTTCTCGGTTAAAGGAGTATTTGGCTAATGAGTTTGAAATCAAAGACTTAGGCAAACTGAAGTACTTTCTAGGCATTGAGGTTGCTCGGTCCAAAGATGGTATCTTCATATGTCAACGAAAGTATGTGCTTGATTTGCTAAAAGAAACTGGAATGCTTGGAAGTAAAGCATGTGATACACCATTAGAACCCGGACTAAAGCTTAGTGAGGATGAAGGAGGCGAGCCAGTAGACAGGGGGAGATACCAGAGACTAGTGGGTAAGCTTATTTACTTATCCCATTCGCGGCCTGATATTGCTATTGCAGTGAGTATGGTTAGCCAGTTTATGCACGCTCCACGTGCAACTCACTTAGAGGCGGTTATGCGGATTCTGAGATCCTTGAAATCTTCTCCGGATAAGGGTCTTTATTTCTTAAAGCATAATCATCTCAGTGTGGAGGCATATACAGATGCTGATTGGGCTGGCTCAGTAACTAATAGAAGATCCACCTTTGGCTATTGTACCTTCGTTGGCGGAAATATAGTCACTTGGAGAAATAAGAAACAAAATGTTATTGCGCGGTCTAGTGTAGAGGCCGAATTCAGAGCTATGGCTCATGGTGTGTGTGAGCTTTTATGGATTCGATTATTATTGCGGGATTTGGGGATTCATCAGACAGATTCTATGAGGCTATATTGCGACAATAAGGCCGCCATTAATATAGCCCACAATCCGGTTTAGTATGATCGGACCAAGCATATGGAGATTAATCGGCATTTTATCAAGGAAAAACTTACTAGGGGCACTATATGTATGCCTTTCGTGCGGTCTGGGGATCAATTGGCTGATGTTCTTACCAAAGGATTAGGGATTAAACCATTCCGTGACATTCTCGACAAGCTGGGCATGAGAGATATCTTCGCACCAGCTTGAGGGGGAGTGTTAGAATGTGTTAGGATATTTCCCATTTTATTCTCATTGACATCCATCTTTTTTGTTACTTAAGCATCTTTGTCCCTCTGTTTTTTTGAAAAATAATGTTTTTGAGTTTCATTGTGTTTTTGACAAACTGCCCCAACTTGGCAAACAACACAGAGCTTCTTTTACTCCTTCTATTAATAAAAGTTTAATTCTTTTTTCTTTGATTCATTCTGATATATGGGGTCCCTCTCGTTTTGTGTCTTTAAAGAGTCAACGATGGTTTGTCACCTTTATTGATGATTGTTCTAGGGCCACCTGGGTGTATTTTATGAAGGACAAATGTGAGGTGTTTTCTGTGTTTCAAAATTTTCATAAAATGCTTTGCACTCAATTTGGGGCAGTTGTCAAAATTCTGCGTTCTGATAATGGGGGGGGGGAATACATTGATTCTGGACTTGCCAGCTATTTTGCCACTCATGGTATTATTCATCAAACTTCTTGTACCAATACCCCTCAACAGAATGGTGTTGCCGAGCGTAAAAACCGACATCTTCTTGATATTGCACGTTGTTTATCCTTTGAAATGTGCGTTCCTTGATCCTTTTGGGGGGAAGCGGTTCTCACTGCTGCGTTCCTCATCAATCGGCTTCCTACCCAGGTTCTTCATAAACAAACTCCTCTTCAGGTTTTGTTCGGCTTCCAAGCTTCTACTGCCTTCTCCATTCCTTCCAAAACCTTTGGGTGTGTGTGCTTTATTCATAATCATTCTCCTACCCGTAGTAAGTTGGATCCTCGGTCTCTTCGGTGTGTCTTCTTGGGTTACTCCGCCACTCAAAAGGCCTACAAGTGTTATCATCCCCCTTCTCGCAAATGGATTGTCTCTATGGATGTGTCTTTCTTTGAATCTCAGTCTTATTTTCTCTCCTCCCCGGTGTCCCCGTCATCTCTTCAGGGGGAGCCTTGGTGTGAAGAGACTCCTGTATCACGACCATCACCATCAGTTATTGCGACTCCTGAGACTATTATTACTGATGATCCAACTATTGAGAATGCTGACTTTTCATCTGTAGTGAAAGACGGCAAAGTGTATGTCAGGGACAAGAGTAGATAGAAAGTTACTTGGGTACAAGAGACCAATTCAAATTCTCCACTGCTATCTTCTTCTTCTGATGAGTGTCCAGAATCCTCTCCTTCTGGTGAACCTCCAAGTAACTCAATTCTTTCTGATCTAGATGTTCCCATTGCTAAAAAAAAGGGGGTTAGGTCGTGTACTCAACATCCTATTTCTCATTTTGCCTCCTACACTAATCTGTCTTCTTCCTATAAAGTTTTTTTGTCTAAAGTTTCTTCTATGAGTCTTCCTTCCAATTTTTAGGATGCTCTTTCTACTTCTAGGTGGAAGCATGCCATGATGGAGGAAATGAGAGTGCTTGCTAAAAATGGCACTTGGGAATTGGCTGCGTTACCTAAGGGCAAACGACCTGTTGGATGTAAGTGGGTGTACACTGTAAAGCACAAAGCCGATGGTTCAATTGAACGTTACAAGGCTAGATTGGTGGCCAAGGGTTTTACTCAGACTTATGGAGTAGACTACCAGGAGACATTTGCACTGGTTGCTAAGATGAATTCTGTCAGAGTCCTTCTCTCCCTTGCCTCTAATCTTGACTAGCCTCTCCATCAATTTGATGTAAAAAATGTTTTCCTCCATGGAGATCTGGCAGAAGAAGTGTACATGGACATTCCTCCTGGTTTTGAGGATGTTAAAACCACAGGAAAGGTGTGTCGGTTATGCAAGTCACTTTATGGCCTTAAGCAGTCTCCTAAGGCTTAGTTTGAGAGGTTTACTTAGGCCATGCTGAGCTATGGTTTCAAACAAAGTCAAGCTGATCATACTTTGTTTGTGAAACACTCCTCAGATGGTAAAACGACAGCCCTCATCGTCTATGTGGATGATATTGTATTCACAGGGGATATTATTGAGGAGGTTTCTCGGTTAAAGGAGTATTTGGCTAATGAGTTTGAAATCAAAGACTTAGGCAAACTGAAGTACTTTCTAGGCATTGAGGTTGCTCGGTCCAAAGATGGTATCTTCATATGTCAACGAAAGTATGTGCTTGATTTGCTAAAAAAAAATGGAATGCTTGGAAGTAAAGCATGTGATACACCATTAGAACCCAGACTAAAGCTTAGTGAGGATGAAGGAGGCGAGCCTGTAGACAGGGGGAGATACCAGAGACTAGTGGGTAAGCTTATTTACTTATCCCATTCGGGCCTGATATTGCTATTGCAGTGAGTATGGTTAGCCAGTTTATGCATGCTCCACGTGCAACTCACTTAGAGGCGGTTATGCGGATTCTAAGATCCTTGAAATCTTCTCCGGATAAGGGTCTTTATTTCTTAAAGCATAGTCATCTCAGTGTGGAGGCATATACAGATGCTGATTGGGCTGGCTCGCTAACTAATAGAAGATCCACCTTTGGCTATTGTACCTTCGTTGGTGGAAATCTAGTCACTTGGAGAAGCAAGAAACAAAATGTTGTTGCGCGGTCTAGTGTAGAGGCCGAATTCAGAGCTATGGCTCAAGGTGTGTGTGAGCTTTTATGGATTCGATTATTATTACGGGATTTGGGGATTCATCAGACAGATTCTATAAGGCTATACTGTGACAATAAGGCTGCAATCAATATAGCTCACAATCCAAGCATGATCGAACCAAGCATGTGGAGATTGATCAGCATTTTATCAAGGAAAAGCTTACTAGTGGCGCTATATGTATGCCTTTCGTGCGGTCTAGGGATCAATTGGCTGATGTTCTTACCAAAGGATTAGGGATTAAACCGTTCCGTGACATTCTCGACAAGCAGGGCATGAGAGATATTTTCGCACCAGTTTGAGAAGGAGTGTTAGAATGTGTTAGGATATGTCCCATTTTTATTCATTCAGTCTCTTTATTTGTTGTAATGGGCCTTTATTTAGGCCTTAACTTATGTTTATGATTTAATATAAAAGGGTATGATTAACCACTCATACCCTAATCTTTTCTCTTCTAAAATTAACACGGCCTTCACTTAAAAAAAAAGAAGTAAAGGAGCAAAAACTCTTGAGAATTGGACCGAAGGCATCACAAGATTGAGAGGCGGTTGAGTCACCACTAGCTTGGGGAAAACTAAGGTAGGAGCTCCCTTTCTCTTATCCCTCTCTCTCTCTCTCTCTATATATATATATATATATCTGTTTCTCTCTTCTTATGGATATTCGGGTAATTTTAGTTGAATTTGAATACTCTGCTTTAATTCAGTGGCTCTTATCAAAATTCAAATAGTGAAACTCTGTTTTTGAAAGTGAAGCGAAGCAGTAGTATGAAGTACCTGTGATCCCAACAGTGGGAAGCACTGTACTGTTGAAACTATAAGTTATTGGGGACTGGCTAAAACCAGGATGCTGAACTACCACATTCCAGTCTGAGTAGCTCTTCCCATAGTTGTAATTCGATATTGTCAACTTCACTCTCCATTGATCCTTGTAATTGTTCTTCAAGTGCCAGTGGACACGAAGTGGGCACATATGATCAGTGCATTGCACTATATCAGGTTTACTCGCAAGATCTGACTGCGTTACCGGATTCCCTTTACTGTTAAAATACACATAAACATGCAAAAAGTGTCGATTAAATCTATAAAAAACTAGCATTGTTGATAAACATAGATATTGACAAAGAAAAACATGTTTTCACCCAATGCATGACATTGGATTCGGATTTGATGATCTGCAACAGATGCACTGAGGGCATGATGTGATGATAGGATTGTAGAATGTTGAGTAGGAAACACAACAAACTGGTGCTTTGTTAGCCAAGTAACTAGAGTATGTGCATGATGATTTCCATGTCCCTGTAAACCACAACATCATCATCAGATTCTTGAAAAAAAATAAAAATAAATAAATAACTGATTTTTGAGAGAATTATAATCCTAAAACAGTAACAGGGCAAAAAAAAGCCTTTCTAGTCAGTCAATTTCATTGCACAAAATATTCAATTTTTGTGCTTCTAAACACACTAGGCCGCCTTGCTTTTTCGTAATCAATTGTTCATCCCCAGTGCTCTCTTTTTGTTTAAAGAGTGGAAAGAAAGTATATTCATTTTTGTTTTTCATGTTTTTGGAAACAAAAATAATGACAAATTTAAAAAGACCCATTGTTTTCCTACAACTTTCATTTTTTGTGAAAGCAGTTTTCAAAAATTCGGAACCATCTTTTTTTTTTCTTTCTAAAAAGTGGGTTTTTTTTAAAAAAAAAAAAATTTTAATTTCCGAAAACACCAAACGAGTTTAATATTGTGTGGTGAGTTTCAGGTGTGATTATGCAACTTCAATGATTGGTAACATGTTTTGACTGACTTCAATTTCTTTGGAATAACTTAATATTTGCTTCATTTCATCTATAACTGAAAGCCTCGAGAAAAAATGGAAGCATCATAATTCGAGAAAAAAGGGGGATTACAATCTCAAGGAGGAGATCGGATTTCACATTGTGGGGGTCAACTATTTTATCCCCAAAAAATATTTTTCAAGACCTACATTGTGATAGACAATAGCAATATCAACCTGATTGAGGAAGAACATTGCACCTTCTGAAGATCAAATGTGATGTAATACAGCAGTATATGTACCTGATTGTATGCAAAAATTCCTTAATGCCAAAACTAAACCTCATTTAATAATTGTATCTATCAAATTTATCAAATGCTTCACAATCATGAGAATCTTATATGTCATAGTATTGGATCACCAAACCAGGTTTACTTTTCATGTATTAAATGATTGTCATTAATATTAGTATCTAATTTCTACAGCATTACACTTTTGAAAATGTGAAGTTTCACAGTTTCAAAAACTGTAATGTGAGAATTCTCAGTTTTGACTTTGAATATAGTTTTGAAATTTTACACTTTTTTTTTTTTTTAATTATTTAGAAATTGAACTTGTGCAATTTTTCAGTGACAGTGAAGTACTTACTGAACACCTGTTCTTGTCTTCTACCCCCAATAACCGAAGAAACTGTGGGATCAGTGTCTTCCAGTTGGCCACAAGTGTAACCGGGTCCTGGTGCCATTAAAGTAAGATTTAAAGGTATGTACCCGGTAGTATTCCCTTCTAAGTGGCCAACCGTGATTTCAAATGATGAGAATGATTGTAAAGGATTGATAGCCCAAGCAGAAAGAAGCCCACCGTGGCAAGAGTCACTCGATTTGTTTTCGTTTGCAGCATCTGGCAAGAGATCAACTATAACGGGGTCTATCTTGCAGGAGTGTGGTATTTGGGACGTGAAGGTTGAGCAATCCCCTTGTTGGGTGGCAAAAGCACCGTTCATTGACCAGATGACCTCATTTTTGGTCCATGTCCATCCTAGTTGCCAACCAGGTTTATCAACGTGACGGTATTGATAATAGTTTTGGATGGTTACCCGTGCCTAAAAACAATGCCTGCGTTAGAGACGAGTAATTTAAATAATAATAGATGCAAAAAATTTGGTGATGATCCCATGAAAAATTAAATATCCACCCTGTATTAATGGCAATGGTACAGACAAGTTGAACGTGTGGAAAGGATTGGCCATTTCAATCACCTTATCAAAGTAGATTATATAGTGAAATTTCCACTGTAATCCTAAAACATTTTTGACATAAATTTAGCATAGGGAACTGTTACGATCCCACATCGGTGAACAAAATGCCTTAGTTATGTGCATATAAATCTCTTGGGCACCCCCCCTTTCAAGCTCTGTTTTCAATGGAGAATTTTACCTAAGGGTTCATATTATTTGGTATCAGAGCTAGCCACCACATTGAGTATGGGATCGGACACAACCTATGCGAGTATGGGATCACATGGGTTGCTACTCAGTGGTCGAGTCACGGATGGAGCAACCTGTGGAGGGCTGTAACGTCTAAGAGATAGGGTCACCTAGCTGGGAACGATGGGCCACTAGGACGTCGGTTGCCTCTTGGGCATCCTCCTCTTGCAAGCCCCTTTTCAAAGGTGAGTTCTACCCAAGGGGTTTGTAGACTTAGCTAGATGGAATTAGAAACAATAATGGACTCATCAGATGTAGAACATAATATAATGGGATTAATCAATTTTCGTAAGATGCGCATACACTTATCAATTTTTAATGTTAAACAGCTGCAAGATATTTCATAAAATAATTGACAGCATGGTTGAACCAAATAACATCCAGATTATTAATTTTGATACCAACCACATAGCCATCTACTGTCCATTGGAGAATGTCGAAGGTAACTGTCACATTACCATTTGGATCCAAGGGGTCATAGCAATCTGCGAATCAGAGAAGTAATCTGATTTTTAGCAAACAGTTCTTCACCCAAAAGGCCAAAATCAAAAAATGAAAAAAAAGCAGCAAAGGAAAAGTATGATGCCTGAAAAACTGCACAGGGAAGCTAATAATATCAATATCAGTACAGAATGGCATATGCGAGAATTGATTAACCCCATGTTCCCTTGGAGATTAACAGGCTGAGATGGATTGATAGTTGTTATAGTCTGCTTAGATGAATAGGGTTTTCGTGGACTTTATTATCAAGGAAAAACATTGTTCTAATATATATCTATAACCTGCTGATCTATGTTGACCATCCTAGTTTGAAATAAACGACAATCATAGGAAACATCAACAAACATTAACAGACAATTTTAAAAGATAAAGTACGAGGCAATTGGATATTCTATCAATCCATGCAAACAAAATAAGCACCAGCACATTGAGGATTTGGAAGGCCTCCTTTGTCTTCTTCACTATCTTTTCTTATTCGAAGAAGGATGTACGGCACGCATAAAATTCAGAACACATGGCAGAGCAACATAAGATAAGTTAGATTACTAAAACAATTTAGAGCTGTTTCTGTTACCAATGAATAGATTAATAAGTATGAGTTGGCATTTGTTCTAGGAATAATTGGTGAAACTTCTGTCTTGCTTCCCAAACTAGTGGAATGAATATGCCTATATAAAAATTCTAGTAAATCAGCTTCCAAAAACTAGTCTTTACGTGGATAAATTTAAGGTATGTAAAAAATTTAAAACACTTTCTATTTTATTTGCTTTTCATATGTTTTTCTCACTATTCAAATCATTTGATTGTCAATTTAACATGGAAAAATGACTCGTCAAACAAGAAATTGAATAACAGTCAGTCCGAACCCAACTTCACCAGACCAAGGAAGGAAAGAAAAATCATTTTGCCACAAAATCTTGGCACACTGATTTGTAAAGTCACAATTATATTTCAAACTCAGTTTTCAACAAATAAATAATCAAAAGCACTGGGTAAGCACAAAATTTCAAAACTAACAAATGATATGTGTAAATCAATAATGAAACAGTATAAAAATTTAGTCATCATAGCATTATTATATATAAAAGCTCAAAACCATGTCAAAAAAGAGGTTGATTCACAGGACCCGAACCCATGTCAAAAAAGAACTGAGACAAATGAGCAATTGTCATCATGCTAAATCACGACCTTTAAAATCTAGTTAGTAAAAGTGTAACTTGAGATTTTTATCCAATTTTACAATTAAATCCAATAAAAAAAACAGTGTAGACACACCTATCAACAAATCAAATTATCCCAACAATATCAAAGCAATAAAAAAATTAAGATATATGTAAATCAGTAATGACACACATTATTATATATAAACGTTCAAACCCATGTCAAAGAAGAGGTTATTGATTAGAGTGACTCAAACCCATGTCAAAAAAACACCGAGACAAATGAACAATTGTCATAGCGCTAAATCACGATCTTTATCGAATTTTGCAATTAAACCGAATAAAAAAAGAGTGTGAGCACACCTCTCAACAAATCAAGCTATCCCAACAATATCAAAAACAATAAAAAATAATAATAATAATAAAGGACACATTACATTGAATTGTAGTTCAAGCGAGGCAAATTTTTTTTATTTTTTTTTGGTTTAATTGAATTGTAAGTAATGCCATTGAAGCATTTCTACAAGCATCTAGAGTGCACTGGTTGACGGAGATTTAAAAGAAACAACTGGTGAAGATGGCGTGATGACACTTGTCTTGCCTCGATACACCAATGTATGGAGAAGTTAGTCATTGATCCTGGGCTCAGTCACATAGTGCCACGAGTATTTAGAGAGAGTGAAATTCACAATTTTGTATTGGATGATTGAAAATATGAGCAGACATGAAGATATATAATTCATCATGTGTGGTATTAGAGACCCTAAAAATTCAATCAATATTTTTTATCAAAGGTCTCACACGTGTGTGCACACATGTAGGTCTATGTAAGCCTCACACTTATGTGAAATATTTAATAAAAATTTTAATAAAATTTTTAAAATTTCAAACATTTTTATTTTCCAGTGTATCTGTTGCAACTTTGGGAGACAACAAGGTGCCAACCAACCAAGGGTGTGGGAGTTCACACTACTGAGTTTGGTAGTCTAGCGAGTTGGAGTTCACTCTCACTCACTGAGTTGATGAGCAAGTGGCTCTAAGTTTACAGCAATGATTGAGAGTATTAATTTTGATATTCTAATGAAACACTAATGACATGATAAGGTGAAAAAAAAGAAAATGAAAAAATCAAGGCCAAAATATCATATCACAGTGGGTAGAGCCTACTGCCAATTCATTATAACTGACTTTAGAGCTCAAAAATTAGAGCTCTAAAATATTTTTCCTAAGTTTATATGGGCAACACGGTTTTATCTCTATCTCCTCTCCTCTGGAGTTTTGTTTGCTGGGACTCTGATGAGTCAAGTTATGTTACAACTCCAAACAAACCGAGTCAAGTTGAATCGAGTTGAGTTTTAAAAATTTTGAATTCTACTCTCTTCGTTAATATTAATTAAGTTTGAGCTTGAATCGGTAATGAATTTTTTTTATTATTATTCACATTATTTTGATATATAAATACTACATTTTTATATTATTTATAGTATTTAACATCTAAATCATAGATTTATATTATTATTTATACATATTTATATATTATTTAATATATAAATAATATATTTATTCTATAATTTGAATAAAAACAAATGAGCCGAGTTTATTCAAATTCAAATCCGACTTATTTACTAAATGAGTTTAAAAGTTAAGTTCGAACTCATTTATTTATTTAACAAATTGAGCCCTTATGAGCCAGGAGTGCACAAAAGGAATTGAATTAATTCAACCTCGTTGGGTTAGGATGGTTTATTTTTTAGTAAATTGATTTAATTGTGAATTTTCAAACCATCAACTTGACTCATATGTATAAAAGGCACGGTATAATTAATAATGAGATCAAAATATAATTGATTATAAAATTATTGAGTTAAAACGTAACTTATCAAATTTGTTGCTAAAAATTTGATGTGAAAATATAAATACAAGTCCGATTAGTTATCCGGAAATAAAAAAAAAGAATGTTATCTTTGTCACTGAGGTGGACTTTTTCAGTCTTTAAACAAATCACACCATCCCCATTATATGTCTTATCTCTCATTGTGAAAAGATTACATTTTAATAGTAAAACTAAACTATTTTTTTTTTTTTTTTGCTAATAGAACCCAATTTAAATTTTGAATTCAAATTTCTTCACCAAAGAAAAAAACATTTTCCAAAAAAGCATCTTTCAATTATATTTTGATCTCATCATTAAATATAAATATTTCTAATGATGTTTCGTCTCTTAATAACCAAATAACTTCGATTTTTTTATTTATTTAAATTTTGAATTCAACTTTGTAAACTAAAAAAAAATTCCACATACATTTTTTAACATGACTATAATCAAACTCAACAGCACCAGCTAGCACACAAAGCAAATGCAAATGCAAATGCAAAAGCAAAAAAAAAAAGAAAAAAAAAGAGAGGACCAATTTCACATGTCCTTTGCCTCCAAATCCCTCTTCCATACTTTTTCTTTTTTATTATTATTTTACCTTTCCTATACTAACTACAAAAACCCATAAATCTAGGGTATACTCTTCACTTTTAAGAGCATAAAACACAAAAACCCATAAATCTAGGGATGCCTGGGTTATAGAAAGAAAAAAATAAAATAAAAAAAGGGGCAAACTTCACTTTACCCCCTATGGTTAGGCCATGTGTGGATTATCCTCCTGACTTTCGAATATCACTACATAACCCCCCTGTGGTTGATGGAGTAATGTGCACCGTTAACACCGTTAATGGCAAACATAAAAAGACCAATTTGCCCTTATATGTGTGTGTGTGTGTATCTAAGCTTGCTTACCATTTTCACTTTCAACAGTCGTGCATCTGAGAAGAGGAAAGTGAAGAGAACAAGGGTTGTTCGATTAAAAGATTCAATAAATTAGGTTAGTTCGATTGAACAAATTAGGGTTTCAATCGAATGAAATAGTGTATAGATTTGAGAAAGTAGGGCTTGGATTGTTCGATTGTCACTGATTTGGAGATTTACGAAGCAAACAAAGTCCAAAAGTTCACGAAGAATAAGTTGTAAGGTATTTTTTCGATCATTACTTTTATTTTGTATTTCATTCGGTTCGATTTGTTGATATATATATATATATATATATATAAAATGTTAGTTGATGTACTTTTTGTTACTGTATACTGTGGTCCCGTATATTTTGTATATTAGGGTTTGTGTGCCTCCTTTTTTCGTATCATTAGTGGTTAATTTTTTGTTATGGACACTGTGTTCGATGCAGTTGTTCATATCCTGTTGCTATGGTGGTTTTGTATATATGAAGTTGTTCATATACTGTGGTCCCCTATGCTTGTTTGTTTATTTGTAGTGAATGATGTCAGTGTATTACTTTGTTTGTTTATTGTTATTGTGTTTTGTGTGAGATATGCACTGAAAATGTGAAGTTTATCCCTAATTCTCAGTGTATTACTTTGTTTGTTTCCTTCTTCAATTAACTTTTAACTTTATGCCTAAAGAATAGGTTTTTTAATTCTATTACTTTATGCTTGTCATATACTGTAGGCATTTGTATTGTATGACTTTATGCTTTTATATTGTGTTTGTGTTTTGTGTAATTTGTTTGAGGATTAGAGATTATTTATTATTTTAGTTTATGTTGGTTACATGCATGACTATATCTTTGTTTAGCGTTTAGGGTTGTGGGTTGTAATCCCAAAATATATTGATAAAAGTCTTTTTTGCTTTAGGAGTGAATGCTGAAAATGTCAAACAAATTCATAATTGTTCAAATGCACCATGGGGGCCATTTTATCATTCATCCACATGTTGTTTATGAGGGTGGTAGGGTGAATGAAATAATTAACTGTGACTTTGACAAAATGTCCATGTTTGAGTTAGAGACCTTTATTACGATCTAGTTGGTAGAAAAAGAGCAAACATAGATATGTACTATACATGACCTGGTTATAGTTTAGATGTTTGGTTGAAAACAATTTATAGTGATGCCGATGTGATGAAAATGCTTAAGGCTTATAAGGGTTTGGATTATGTA